TATGAAGATTGCTCTCAAGACTTAGACTGGTTCCTCACTGATTGCAACGGTTTTCGCGTATAACTACCACCAAAGATTATGCCAGCCACTTAGTACCAGTCCTTGGGGGGTCTCCCTGGCGTCCTCGACTGGTGGACCTTGCGTCTCACCCCGACTTCACCCGTGCATTATCCAACTGGCGAAACCTACTGACCTCTACAACTCACTGCGTCTCTTAGAGTCTTCAGTCGCACGCCGACCAGTACCTGTCATTGGGCATAGCCGGGTTGTTTTACGAGCGCCCGCCGCTCATTGCCCGTGCTCCCCACTAGGTCCGGAGATACATCCAGTTGTCGAGTTGCTACCCTAGACCGACCTACAGCATACATGAAACTTTCCCTCTCACGAGATTAGGGTCCCACTGGGTACCTATGCCCCCTCAGGTAGACCGACAACCCTAACCACTTCCCCCACAAAGGGGGAGGACCCTTTCCTCCAGGAGAGATCGGTCCCTGACTTAAAGATCAACTATGACTTGCTGACTCGAATTGACATGATGACATCAACAAATTTCGACTTTGCAGCAGAGGTCACCAAGAAAGTATGTGGGAAGGTACCATACACAACAAATTTCAAATTGCATAAATTGACAAGGCCAGGGCAGCGGAGCACTTCACTTCTTGAACGCACGTAAGTCTTCTTCTTGCTCCTTGCGATGCCCCGTCTACTTAGACCCTCAACTCGACAAACCCTAATCTCCTTTCTTTTTTTTTTACTCGTCGGCCTTCCTCCTTGCCAATGTCTCAAATCCGAGCGGATGCAGCGGGAACCAGCTCCGATACCACTGAAATGATCCAAGTACTCGTCAAGTTCAACTTGCATATACCAACGAACATCCACATGAGAGTTCACACATGAAAAGCCAAACCGAGATACAATCCACACTCGAAGATGTCGTCACCAATATTATTACCAATATACAAGAATGTTTGTCACCAACGGCTCTGCCGCACACACATACACAGCGGGTCCCAACCAGGTAGCGGCTATGGCTTCCCCCCTTCTCTCTCTCTCTCTCTCTCTCTCTCTCTCTCTCTCTCTCTCTCTCTCTCTCTCTCTCTCGTCTGTCTCTCTCTCTTCCCTGGATCGTTACCCTGGATACACCCACTCAGGTATCTTACACCTTGGCGGCTATGGCCGCCGTCGTCCTGGTCTACGTCTAGCCTACCTATGCACCATCTCTCAGGCGCCCACTTCTTCCTCAGGAGCACAATGCCCAAGTTGCCGTAACGCACAAGCAGCAGCAGAGCTTCCGCATCTCGCAATTGAACAAGCAACGAGCTGCCGCACTGTAGCAACTAAATATAGGATTTGTCTTCGCTTGGCTTAGCCTGCTTCAGACCGGTACCGATCGGCCACGGCCTGTCTGCTGCAAACACTTTGTCGGTCCGGTACCTTCCTGACTTTCCTAGGACATGCTGCAAATTGGCCTTGGAACTGTCGGACTGGACTGGCGCTTTCGGACTCTTCTTGCCGTGTACCGGTCAGGGCAGTTCTGGCCTTTTCTTGTCGGTACTGGACCCTTACCTACCTACGACGCTTCGGACCCCCTAGACCGTACGACCTAGCCTACCGGACGGAACCCCTAAACCCTACGACCTAGCCTATAGGACTGGGTTTGTCAGGACCCTCAGACCGAAGCTGGGTGTCTGCCACGTGAATACTTTCACACCTTTCGTTCATCGAACAAACTGCTCAAGCGGAAGGCTGATAACACCTCCCCTGTACAACCAACACACAGTCAGGCTGCCAGCAAAATCAGCAGGGTGAACAGCCTAGGGGATACAACCTCAACAGCGGAACAGATGGATGCAGCAACCACAGAAAAGGATCATGACGAATCAGATAAAGACAAAATGGGGCAGAAGGTTTTCAGTCCAACTCCAATCGAGGCTGATGGGAGGAAGGGTGTAGAGGGAGAAAACCACGCCCCTAAACCCAAGAATTTGGACATTCAGACAGAAGATGAAGTACAGGACACAGAGGAAGAGGACACAACCCCACGAGAGGGAGAGGGATGTGGAATTTGAGGTCTGCGTCGCACACAAAAGACAAATTGTCAACTTGAAAAGCTTCAACTTCCAACAATTAGAAATCATCAGCCAAAACCCAAGAGCCTAGCTCAGTGGGTACACCCATGAACTGTTAAAAACACAGACCCGTGTTCGAATCCAAATGATGGAACCCCTTGATGAGTAAAGTTGTAAAACCAACTATTTCTGAATTGGCTGGGGCTGGTCAGCTTAATGATGATATCTCATGGCCGTCGCCCTTTTTTTTTTTCTTTTTTTTTTTTTATCATCAGCCAAATCCCTATCCAGATTCCAGAACCAATTTGAGGTGTTGGAAAAGGAACAGCAGTTGTCAGATTTCGTTGCAGAGCAGTACAGGCACACACTAGACAGCCCAGGGAAGCACACAGCAAGCTCTCACAGACTAATCCAATGGCAAACGTTGTATAACGAAGCAACACACATCCACCCCAACAAAAGGACAAAGGGTCAAAAAGGAAAGGACAAAGAGTCAACAGCTGACAAACAGAAAAAAAAAGGGAAGGGTGCAGGGAATCAGATGAGCACAAGAGAGGATCTGGACAGACACAAAGAAATACTACTGGCTCAGATCACAGTCCTCAAGGACCAGAACAGAGAAACAGCAGGGCAAACTGAAACGGTATTCACCAATTCGTGGTAGCTGAGGTAGATCCCAGGGCTCGATCCCTAGTTCCCCAACTTMCCTGTGTACAATACCTGCGTCAACTCGAAGAGTTGAACCTGCGACCTGTAGAACCGCCAGTGGTAGGTAGGTCTGTCGTAGGTCTATAGGTAGCCAGGATTCGATCCGTAGACCTATAGACTAGAAGGCTAGCTGCA